TTGTGTAAACGTATTAGCATAAGAGCTCACTCGAGCAAATCTCGTGTAATCGGGTTTTACCGATGTATACTTTTGACCCCCTTCCCTCGACTTGCACGGCTTGCTTGTCTTCTCCTTTTAAACCCCCTTTCTGGCCAATGACAGAGTGATAGCATTAGGTCGTCAGGATTTTCATTGAATTTCTGAAGTACTTGAGTGGATCATTTTCTCAAAAAAGACGCATTTTCTCTCTACTATTTCGCTCTTAACATTTTCACAAATCTCGACTCTCAATTGGTTTTTTTTGTGAGTTGACATTCCTGCGCTTGTATGCATAGAAATTAAGTTGAATGATTATTTATGGCTTCTTTATTAAGTGACAGCAACTGGGTGGTACCATTTTTTGCCATTTTTAACTCGAGAGAACTCACTTGCGAATCACCATTGTGCTAAAATGCAAAGGTATCAACAAAATGTTCATGATCCAAGTTTTTTTCTCCTGAACGGAGTTGGGGTTGGAGGGGGGGGGGAGGGTGGGATGAGAGCTTCCGATCGTCGGTTTCAATATGAAATTCAGTTTTACCTTGAAATATTGTGAACCCTGTTATCTTATAGATGGATACTTGATCAGTTTAGACTTCAATTTTTTCGATCGGAATAAGCTAATTCTTGGCTCTCAATACACTAACTAGGCTAAACGTTCATTTTATTGGCTATCATCTTAGATTAGAATGTCAGATGAGGGGTAAGTCATCTATTCGAGCGCATCACATAAAACTAACGAATACTTAACTATTTTTCGCTGATATCACCTTAACTAAACAACTTAGGAGGACCCGCTGACTTGAAAAATTTGGGTACCTCTTCTCGTCTCCTAAACTGATTGAACAAAAAAGGCGGGGGAGACTCGTTAATAAACACGAACGAATCTAGAAATTTGAGTTTTGGAACATGAAATATTTAGAAAATATTGTTCAATCCCCACCCACCCCCTTCCCCTCGACCCAAATGTCAACTAAAGTATGACTACTTAATATCTTGGAGTTTCTCTCTCTCTCTCTCTCTTGGAGTCTGTTATTCGACAGCAGTTGTTTTCCCCAATCAAAAAGGACAAGATTTTTTCCTTGAGATATTACTCTCTGGCATATAATATAAGATCTCTTTTTGTCAGTAGTTGGATCAAAATCAATTATTTTTTGCCTCATTTTTTTTAATTAACTTTCATTTACAAAGTCATTCTCAATTCTCCAACAGAGGAGTTGAGCAGGTTTGATGTATTTCAGCTCTGTTTTTTTTTTCATAATTTTTTTTCATTAGATGAGAATTTACTCCGACGCTTCTGTCTTTCCGGGGCTCTTTTCGACATCATTCTCCCACTTTACAGATACGCATTGGTGGTGACGGGGAATTGGGAGGTTATTTTTTTTCTGGTCTATTTTTTTAAGGCAAGTAGTGTAGTCATGCCTCCACCTACGCTTTACGGTGTGTTTCCTCATCTTCAACTACATATTTTTGGCTTCTCTACTTCACCCTCCCCCCCCCCCCCCCCCCCCCCCCNCGTAGGGGTGGGAGGAGGGAGGGGGGGGGGGCGTTTATTACCACCCAAGGCAATGTAAAGTAAAATTTTTTTCACCTTTAAACATGGGATAACATCTGCACTTACGTGGTGGGAGGGGGTGGGAGGTGGGGAGGGGTGGTGGTGGAAGGTCCAATAAGGGATCTTACACTAGTATACCACGAAGGCAAACTTAATTTGATTTCTCAACGAATTGAATTGTATGCTTTCTAACAGGGCATTTATGATTCACTTTGTAGTTCCAAGGCTAGATCTTCCTGAATTGGATTTTTGTTAATATCTGTGTGCCCTCAAGGGGCTGCGCTATTTACAATTGGTTAGATTTATTGGCTTAATTGTGAATGCTTGGTCTTATCACTTTGCCTTATCTCTACCTCCTCCCTCCTACTATGAGCTGGAAGACTGCACTGTCAAGGGACAGAGTTAATTCAGATGAACTTTGTTGACATTATTATTGCACTTGGTCAAGTATAAGGTTGCAATTTAAAGAAAAAAAATGCTAAAATCAAACAACGGGGGTGGGAGGCAAATTAGGAGTTTGAATGGATACACAGAAAAAATAAAAAAAATTCTGAATCGATCATATTTCCCTCTTGCCATCGCAAAATTTTAATTCTAAGTTCGGATCCTTAAAGTAATTAGTCATTGTTCGAGTCTATAGTGATCTGACGTTTGAGCCTCATCGGGGTTTCATTGGGTTCAATCAAGTTAACGTTAAAATAGTAGTCTAAAACACCGTCTAAGAATTGAGATACAACGGACTTTGTAGAGCCGAATGCATTAGCAATGTTTATTATTGTTTTGTTTGGCTATCATACTTTAATTGTTCTTTATAGGGAAAGCTCACTTTGTAAGCCCTCTGGTCTTTTACGATATTTTTGTGCATATATATGGGAATCGTTTGTAAAATGATTTTTTTAATTTAACAATGATCACCATCGTTCAGTCGTATTTGTCTTTGTTTATCTTCTGGTGAATTGTACTCCCAGTGTGTTTATGTATTTGAAGTTGGACTTGTTCTAGTCTTTCAGCGACATGATTTTCATTGCATTCCTTTTGAACGCGCATGGTGTTAGATCTGACTTGGCAGATGAATCCAAAAGTTGCTGTTTGTTTATTGTTTATGCCGAATTCGCTCCACCGACAGTATTCATTAGTGCATTTCCTACCCGTGGAATTCGATAACCTGTAAAGTATATCTGCTTCTTCTTCTTCTTTTTAAATAACAATGCTGTTTTTTTTGTTAACATTTGACCTCTACGTTGGGGAATGTTCTAGAACTCACCGCTTTCATGATACATTTTCTTCTTCCTCTCAAACAAGGCAGAATGCCTGCTCTTCCACACTCCGTTCATGCTCACCAGCATACGCATATGCTGTGCGTGTGGTGTAGCGCAGTAACTCACTAAGGTGCGTCGCTCTCCCTTTGCCTGTTGTCATGGATGACAAAGGTGGGCACCATTAGCTTAATTCATTGGTTTACTCCTTTGCACCATTAATTAGAATGCCTAAAGCTGCTAATTAAAAGGCTGCAAAAACTAAACTCCAAATGCGTGGTTACTCTAAATATTCAGTTCAAGGTCGCCCTAAGTTTGATCCTGGAAGGTAGGCTGAATGAGTCCATCCAAGTGGGTATTGCGAAAAAAAGATTTGCTTACCGATGAATATTACCAGATAGAGGATGAGAATTGAGGTCAGCCATTGAGTCCAAAATGAGGGCCATTCCTTCATCTCCATTTTACCATTTTTAGGCTGCCCGAATTGACGGTTTTCCAGGTGTCATAACTGCCCTCGGTACCCTGCGTATCCGCGGTGACCTGCTTGTCGCCTCCCTCTCTCGTTCTGAGTTGGCCGACGCCCTGCGTTCCTACGCGAAATCCCTCAATATCCTTCCTTCTAATCCCACTTCCCGCAGCTCATCTGGCATTTCCCGCCTCACTAAACTCCATCTCCAATCATCAACTTCACCTGAAGGAGTAGGTGTAGACACGGAAGAAATATCTCCAACGGCAGTTACGAATGTTCCGCCTACACCTGAAACAGTCCCTTTAAACGCAACTTCCACCGCTAATGCACCTTGGTCTGAATCGAACTCTCCTGCATCGAATTTACCACAATCAACGACTCCTGGCGTACCTCTGCCTCCTCCTTTACCCCCTCAGCATCAATTGAGTCGTGGTTCTCTGGAAACTGGGGAGGCTTTCGCCCCGCCTCCACCCCCAGTTTTGCCCGGAGGTCAAAAATTTGTGGTGTCACGGCTCTTTCTCTTTGATCGAATGCTTCTGGTTACTGAGGAAGTGAAGGCCAAAAGGAAGGGCACGAGTGCTGATGCCTTTGCACAGTCGACGTATCAATTTAGAGCGGCGGTGAACGTTAATAAGATGAAATTTGAGGTGAGGTTCTGCTCGCGCCTTTCTTGCTTGTTTGGATTCGCGTGACTTGGCAAAAAAATGCTGAGCTGTTGTTTCCCATGGCGTCGATTTGAGCTAGGTTCAGAAAGCACTGACTAGCTTAAGGCACTGCTGAATTTGACTGAATTATCTAACTTCAAGTAGCTGGGGTTGGGATTTTCGGGTGTCTGAATGTCATTTTGTTAGATGTTGAACTTCTGTTCATTTAAAGGTACGGCAAAATATTAGCCTGGGCTTTACAATGATTTTACAAGGACACATCGGATTGCCATTGGATTTGTTTTTGAAATGTAAAGATGCATTAAGTCTAATATTGTAAATTAACGATTTTTCAAGTGTCCTTTCAACGAAGCGACCAGGAAGGAGGGGGTTGGGGAGCTGAGCCAATAATATATTGGCCTTGAAATAAAGGCACTTGTTTAAAATTGACGAGCTGATTGGTTTCTCTTTGTCTTCGACCTTAGGTTAACACTTTCATGAACAAAAGGTATATTTATTTCAAATTGCGGGCGTTTTGATAGTTATCATTAGCCCATTAGCTGTCTTCGGGCTTCACAGAGGAGAAGAGGAACATCAAAGTGACAAAAAAGTTGATAGGGGGGGGGGCAGAATAACGATTCACAGATGTAACAGAGACAGACAGACACAAAGGCAGAGAAAAGGTAAGATGATTACTGTGGAAGAGATCGAATATGACATACAGTGGGGTTATGGTAGTTTGAAGTCAGAAGTCAACTGCCGGTTTATAGTCAGCCTTTTTGCAGTATGAGGATACGTTGCCCAGGGGGCACCACGTGAAGGTAAGTCTATCGCACACCCCTATGAGCAAAAGGTAATAAGAAAGCTAATTAAGTCAGAATCGCCATTTCGGGGGGTATTTCCAATTCGGTCTTTTATAGAATTGTTTTGTCCATCAACACCTTACTTCCTAAAATTTTTCTAATTATTCAGTTGATGTTTTGACTTCAAACCCATTAGGTGGAAGGTGTCATTGAATAGAGTTTTACGAAGCGAGGCTTTGAATTCATTTGCACAATCTGGTTGACACCTTCCAAAGTGTAGAGGAATGTCTGAGCAAAAGATCGGGCAGAGAGAGAGAGAGAGAGAGAGAGAGAGAGAGAGAGNGAGGAGAGAGAGAGAGAGAGAGAGAGAGAGAGAGGAAGAGAGGAAGAGAGCTTTAAGACAATATTAGCTTGTGAGATGCTTTCCGCCAGTAGCTCCTTATGGAATAATCACCATTCAAATAATTGTTAAATTGAACGCTAATTTCAGCGAAGTCTATTAGGCTTATAAATGTGATTTTGGCCATTCTAATTACGTATCAGCATGTTTCTACTTCATGGCACATGAATTGGAAGGTCAAAATCGCAAACCCCGTAAAACTATTAGAGTTTACCTAGCTCAAATTCTATCTTATTCTGATCATTATGAAAAAGAAAATAAAAACAAGTTTTTTGGAGGTCAATTTGTTTCGGTTAAAATGGAAGTGCTTCTGTTGCCATTTCACAGAGCATAAAGATGTCAAAGTCAAGAGTAGCCTTTTGAGTAAATGCTATTTTAGGTGCAAGAAGGCGCTAATTCCTTTTTCCTTCCATCTTTTTTTGAAAAGCCCCATTGGTTCATGTGTTCTTTAACCTCTGAACCGGCACAAATCGGACCTACAATTCCAGGAGCCGGCGAGGGCCCTGCACCAGCTCCCGGGACACCTGCCGCATTCGCCGCTGTAGTGGGGTCCGAGGGACCGGCCAATAGCGCTACCGGATCCAGTGGTGATCAGTACGCCGGCTCCGATTGGAGTAGCGTGCGTGCTGCCTTGGATTTCGCTGCTTCGGATGATTTGCGTTTCGCTTTGTGGGATCAGACACCCGGAAGGGATGTGGTGTACATCATCGATCCACAGACTGTCGCCACACGATCCGCTTGGGTTGTCCACCTTCGGGATATTCAGCGAATGCAACAGCAATTACTGATGGCTCTGGAGGATCCCACAAGATTCGCAGCTGCCGAGAAGGAATGGGGTGAGTTGTTGAAGTAAAATCAGATACCCACATTGAACGTAGAGTGGTGTGGTAGGATTACGACGAAGATTGGGAGAAGGCTGAAGGATGTGTATTCCCAAGTGCACTTGAAACATCACATGTTGGCCTCAATTTGTACTAAATTATGTTTTTTCTTTTCAATTTTATCTTCAACTCTTATCGAGTTAAATCAATTTTCTGCAAAAAATGTTTCCGTCCTGTATTTTATTCCTGTTCTGTTGGCTACATGTGTTTTTTTTCCAAATCCATTTCCACTACACATTCCTGACCTTTCCGTTTCATGTTTAAAACGAGATCCTTAAAGTTGTTATCTTAGAGCGGGTTGGAAGTTTGTGATATTTCGAGATTGGGATAAGTTTTGAGATTTGCCCCCCCCCCCCAACCCCACCCTACACCCCTCCCCCTCCTATGCACTTTCATTCAAGCTCAACATTTTCTTTCAAAATTTACCAATGACCTCTGCAAAGACCAGTTACATTTTACTCTTTGAGGAGGCTTTGGCGATGAGGGCTGAGGGGTAGAAGGATGTGGAATTTGTCCTACAAGGATATAAATCTAATTTTGGAAATGTATTATTCATTTATCATTTTGGGTTTGGAGAGGCCTTGGAGATAATTGAGCGGATTTAAAGTTCTTTTACTTTTTGTGGTTATCTAGTCTATACCTAATAGTGGATTTGCAAATTTGACGTTGCTTATATTTTTACTGAGAAAATGCTGCTACTCTGAATTTCGTATTTCACGGACAAGTGTTTGTAAGACTCGAGGATCAAAATGTCACCTCTTCATGTCTATAAGCCCCCCCCCCCACCCCCTCTTCCCTTCCTCCCGCCTTTACTAACTTTCCGAGTGACTGCCCGACTGGCTAGAAGGCATCAAAGTGATTGGCTAGCAACCGTGCTCACTCTCTGTCTTATCCCACCCATCCTTCCTCCTCACCTGAAGTACACGCACACACACACGCACACACACACGCACACACACACACACACACACACACACACACACACACACTCACCTACATATATTGCCTTATCCAATCATTATCGAGCGTTTGTAGGTTTCTCTCTCCCCCCTCTCTCGGTTCTGCTTATACAATTAACTCTTCCCGCCTTTATTGAGCGCGACATCGTGGCCTCGAGATTGCGTTACTAACTTTCTCTTTGAGCAGTCCCTACACACGCATGTCTGTCTTATGTTAAGGTTCATTTCCACTTTCCTTATACCCATTAACTACCACCACCCACTTTCAATTTTGGCGCAAATCGATGATTGGATGCGTATTGTAGATGAACTTGGGGGGTTTTAAGTAGCGCAATAGTGAATCGTTTTTAGCCGGTGAGCCTTTGATCGAAACAGGAACTTGATTGGATGTTCTCTACATGTCTGAATATCTACTTTTCACAACAACTTATCGTTCAGCAATAATTATGTTTTCTATTTGCTTGTATCAAATATTCTAGTTGGTTATTTACCCGACAACTACATATTTTAACTTTATCTAGATAAATTAGTGTCTTTACCACTTCTCTACAAATCACCCGTGTTAATGTTATTTTTCTCAAACCCTCTTAGCGCCAAGAATTTCTCCGTTAAGATTGCACACACCGAAAGGAGATAATAATAATAATAGGTTTCGTAATTTATTGAGGGAGTATGCCATTCTTCCCCTCGCCCCCTCACCCCCCCCCACCCCCTACCCCACCCCTCACTGTTTGATTAATGAAGTGACATTTTGTCCTGCAGTCCTAACTTTACCTGCAGACTACTAACACGTCGGAAAGAGTTGTTCAGTCGGAAAGTTCATTGCATTGTAATTATCGTAATGCAAATTTCTGCTTATTTTTTTCCGATTTATTGCTGAAGAATCACCTAGGGCCTTTCGTAGGCAGGAAATTTGAAATCTGAGACATTTTTAGTGAGCAAGTCGCATTATGAGATAATCCTCCTATGAGAGCTTTTTTTGAAACATTTGCGGGTTGTTATTTTTCACAAGATTTGAATAATTAGTCATATTTTTTTCTAAACTTGACAGTTGACTGCATTTACCACTACGCTACGCACAATGATTCTTAAGTAATTCCATAATTTCTCAAAAGTGTGCACATTTTAATTGCAATTCGAATTGTGCGTCTCGATACTTCTTACTTAAATGGTAGGTGATGATGGCCTGTCCACTTCTATCAGCTCATTCACTCAGTGACTTCTAAGTTGAAGAGTCTCTTCCCCCGAATTTCATCATCACGGCGTGCCAATAACTCAGAGTGGTCTTAAACGTTCGAATGTCTGGAGATCCCTACGTCACGCGTCAAATTAGGACTTTTCAATTCTCAATTGCAATGGACAACTGTTCCACTTATCTAATTCACCACCTGGTTAACGTAGTTTCATTGCTCCTACTGCTTCTGCTATTGTTGTTATTGTCGTTGTGATTGATGCTATTCTTTACCGAATGGGAATTTTTTCATTAATGTGATAAATCTCTCTCTCTCTCTTTTCGGCATATTTTGTAGCTGAGAGTTTTTTCATTAGAAATTTCCCATAAGCGATTAAGCATGCCCACTTCATCTTCCTCTTTACGCACATTTTCTCAATTACATTATGTATATTGGTACGTAGTTAATTAGCCACCAATTTGCGCTAACTTTCCTCTTTTTTGGACTTGGAGAAGCGTAAAGCATCCTTAACCATATTTGTTTGCTATTCAATTTGGCGTATGCAAAATTGATCATTTTCAGAGGATTTTGTTCAGCTCCAAGGTCAAATTCCTTTAGAATTGGCCATTTTTAACTTCACCTCTATGAATCAGTGAAACGATCACACACACCCCCCCCCCCCCCCCCCCCCTATCACAACGAATTAATAAAAAAGTAAATAGATAAAATTGTGGGGTTTTTTCATTTTCTAAAATGAAATTCTGTAGGTGTAGTTACTGGTACTGCGGTGGCTTGGCAACCAATAGACCAAGTCTGAGGTCACAAATTATTGTGGCAGAAGTCCTTTCTCTCGATTTCCTTCCACTTTCCAATTTCCAAGGCACAATTGCAGTTTGATTGCATAATGCCATGATCATATATTTCAATTTCTAGCTCTTACAGGTATTTGTACTAAACACTAAACACGTTTTAGAATCCATAGACATTTTTTTGTAATCTAATCTCTTCTTGATCAGGTCTACTGTAGTTTTCTCCCTTTTCTTCAGATAAGAGATTCTGCTTTTGCGTAGTCATGTGTGTGTGTGTGTGAGCACAGCTTAGAGCGAAATAGAAATAATAGCTAGTTCAAAATAGCCTATATTCCTGTTTATTTTTTGTTACCTACCAAATGAACAAATACCTCCGTTACTGTTGATTACCCTATGAATGTGTCCGCATTCTAGATCGGTCTTGTTTGGAATGCTTGCACCCATGCACAAATATCACTTTTAACATGTGGTCCCTGCACTCACCACATCGCTATTGTTGTCATCGTTTTGTTCAATTCTTCGCTTAATATTTATTTATTTAAATCAAATGGCAGGCATTTTGATAAGTTATCGTTAGCCCTTTAGTTGAGATCGGACTTCACAGAGGGGAGAAGGAACATCAATGTCACAAAAAGTCCTAAGGGAGAACAGACGAGTGATTCGTAGATGTAAGAGAGACAGACAGACAAACACGAAGGGTCAGAAAGGGTAAGATGTGGACTGTGATAGGGGTCGAATATGACTTGCAGTAGGCCATGATAGTTTGAAGTGCGAAGTCAACTGCCGGTTTATGGACTTTTTTGTCGTACGAGTATGCGTTGCCCAAGGTGCACCACGAGCGGGTACGTCTATCCCNCCCCCCCCCCCCTTTGGTTAATACATCTACGATTACTCAGTAGATGTGTGTAGTTGACACTCGACACATTGAGGTGGTGTTTTTTGTCCCTAACTTAATCGATATCGTCTATGCTTTTGCTGTACCTCCCACAGTGGGCAACGGTTTATTTATTGTCTCCGCAGTGTAGTAACACGTGGAATTCATAATCGCACGATCATAACTGGAATCGTAAAGTGATAGGAAGGTGGAATTTTAGTTAATGGTTTCCCTACCGCAAAGAATCAAAGTTATGTCTCTTGAATAGCCATTCATTTTCGGCGTATTTGCCTATAGAGACTGCCTTTAGAGTTGTATTGGCGTTTATAAATTACTGAACTTTGTATGCAATATTACTCTATCCTCTATTTCACAACCTGTTTAGCTGATGGTTAATTAGCATCTAAAACCTACAAAACGACTAATTTTCAACATTTTCTAATAAAGGGAAAGTGTGAGTTTTTGTTTGAAATGCGAATTTTGCATGTCTGTTCGTTCGTAATTGTTGCTGAGATTGTCTGTGGCCTCAACTGTTAGATGAAAGGTCTCAACTGCTGATCGATGAAGCTCTGTGAAAAGGTGGGAAAAAGTGAGAAATTGTTTTTAGACTCCTCCCAAATTCACAATTTATTTGGTCTCCTTTCTTGGCTATGATTTATCGCCCGAAGGTTTTCTCTTTGACCAAGTGAGCTTCGATGTACCCCTAGCAAAATGTATGATCGTGTGATCCTTCGCACTTGAATAAAAGGGTTCCCCAACTTGATATTTCGGCGATTAATAAAAAATATAAAATGCACGTTCGCTATCATTCATTCCTTTAACCAGTTATACTTTGCTCTCAAGTATTTCTTTGAAATTGAATTAGTTGAAGTTTTTTTTTGTATGTGAGGTTCCAACCCCGCCCACTTCCCCCCCCCCCACCCACCCCCCACCACCCTTCGGATCGCTAAGAAGAGTTTGTAGTGAGTTCTTACTTGTTAAGGCTTCTTCCCTGCGGACGATTGGAGATATATCACTGCACAATTCGCTTCCTTTTTGTCCCATTTTAGTCCTCTCCCACTTTCATTTCCTTCCCCCTTCGGATTTTGTTGTCTGCTTATGCCTTCCACGCGCACACACACGCGCGCACGCACGCACACATGAATAAAAATGGCCTTC